AAAAAAAAGGCTCTCACATTATATTCCTCAAGTAAATTTTACAGAAACATTCACTGTATAAAAATATTAGATCAACTTCCATCTATCTTAAATATACAGCTAGTCATCATGGCTTGGCTTTGCAAAACAAAGATCAAGAGGGAGTCTGTATATGTCACTTGCACACACATTTGTGACTGATAAGTCCAATTCGGGACAGGCATACATGGTCACATTAGTTGCAGCAGAAAGTCTGGCCTGTGCTCACTGGCATAGCATTGCATTACTTTCTTCTCTGCCTCTTGTCCCTGAGAGTTGCCCTGCAGGTATTTTCAAAGGAGACAGAATGGTTGGTGGCATGACACCAAACGTCACAGTTATCAGCTAGAGTTGACCATCATACAGGTATTGCCATGTTAATAAATGAATTTCTGTGATATTTTAAACTTAAAGTAAATAATATTCCTTTCAAATCAGACTAATTAAACTTTAAATCAGCTAATATTCTTCAAATAAAGTTTCAGAAAAGTATATTTTAATTTTGAAAGAATTTTTTTTTTTTTTTAAATAAAAAGAGTTACATTGTGTTATCACGCTCTACTATATTGATGGGGTTTCATTCCTAAACATTTTTTCAAAGTAGTATGGAATATTAGTATCTTGATTATGTTGAAGTTTTTTTTAACTACGAACATAAAAAAATATACAAACATAATTATACAAAAAATATACAGACATAAAAAATATTTATAAAAATAAGATATATTTAGAATGGATGCTAAATGTTTTGTTGTTGTGATAGAAGAATGGTTAAAATATTTAGTTTTTCCTTTGATGTTTTAAAGATGCAAAATATAGATCCCTTACAGTACTTCAGCATCTTCACTCCCAGCTGGACTGATTTTTAAAACTACCAACAAATATTAATAAAAAAAAAAATAAAAAAAAGTAAAATTTTATACATATAATTAAAAGCGGTTTTATACCAGCAAAAAATACATTATTTAGCAGGGATTGATATTACTTACCAAAATCTTTTAGTCTTAATTTATTACTTCTAAAACTAAATGTCTTTATTATTATTTTTTTACTATTTTTTTCTCTTATTTCTTTTTATTGCAATGTCAAGTCAACATAGTTTACATATTTTGCAGCTGAAATCACTTGATGTAACCATAAGTTCTATGCTAATAGTTTCTTCTCTCGCACTTCTCACTTGTGGAACACTCTACTGGCTTATTGCTTCCCAGTCAATTTTGATCTTAAAATATTCAAATGCAATGTCAATCATCATTTTCTGTCACTTTAATTCCTGTTTTTTTATTGCCCTTTCTCCTTAGTATGTTTTTACTCAGGCTCATTCACTCCCAGTAACCATTTCCATGTTGGTGATTTTAGCACCTTGCTTGGGGTGAAATGATTAAACAACAAAAACTTTTCAGTGTCAGTATAATGTTATCTGAAGTGATGTCACTCCCTCCCCGACCAAACTAAACATTTCCAGATTGTAAAATACTAATTTCAACAGATAGCTTAGAAGTATTTAATGGAGCATTTCAAGAATGCAGGTTAATCATACTACTTCTATATGCCATGTCCCTTCAGGACATTGGTGATCATGGCTTGCCCCAATTTCTTATCTTTGTAGTTCTTAATAAATTTGGTCTTTTTGTTATCTTTCCTAAACTTTGTTTCCCCATCCATTTACTCAAGCTCAGTATGTAGGTTATGCATTTTTTTCCTCTGTCCTTCAATCTGTTTGTTCTGTGAGTGTTAAATTTTCCAAGCCCTCTTTCCTCAATATGTATCCTAGAAATTTCAGCACACTTTTCCTGTTGTTAAGAATGCATCATTTTGTTTCCATTTTCTCTAAAACTTCATTTTTGCTCATATGTTCAATCCATGGTATTCTCATCATCCTTCTGGAGAGCAATATTTCTGTTGCTTCAAGTATCTTCATAAGTGAAGAGATTTCTATACTGGATTTATTCAAATATACTGAAAATATTATCTGTTAATTTTTCACTCACTTTGTTAAACATAATATGAGTACATTTATAAATGCCATTTTCTTTTTTTAAAGTGTTAAAAGTATACAATGGTTTGCACATATAAAATGTTTATTTTGCTTTTTCTGGTACAGTTTTAATTTTCACTTTCATACAGCTATATTTAAATAAATTTTTTAGCTGTCCACTTAGTTTTTATTTGCAGACTTAATGTAAATAGATATCAGTCTAATGTTATTTCAGATAAGAACTAAAATATTTAATGAAGACCTGTACATGTTAATTTATTGAGAAATCATTTGAATTACAAATATAGCATGATTGGTTATCCATAACTAATAAAGATATGCTGCTTAATGTGTTTTTAATATAAATAATTCTCTTAGTGTTAGAAGTCATATGTATTTATACATGTTTAGTTGTCTATTTCATCATAAAAGTTTGGGAAAATGTTTCAATAAAATATCAAAATAAATTAAGTTTCTATATAATAAAAATTAATTTCAGATGAAAAACTACAATTTGTTTTTAATTTTTCAACAAACCTGTGCTTTTTTCTTTTTTTTTTCACAACAATTTCTCAAAATGTATTGTTCACATTGTCTTCCATGAATCATTACATTCATATATGTACTGATATACACTTTGTTTCAGCTTCACTAGTTTGTCTCTTCTGCCCTTCCCCCTAACATGGATTAAATAGCTGGGTAGAGTGCTCTCTCTGACTTTATATGGCAACCAGTTTAAAAGAAAAACACTTAATTTCAAACAGTGGAGGAAGCAACAGGAAACCACTATCTTTCCTAAGAATGCATTGCAATTCATAGATAATAAGGAAAAGAAACTTGTGGAGGGCCATGATCATTTGAATCTTGAAAGGACATGGCATTTGCATAAAAAAAAAAGTACAAATTCCATTTGAACAATTTCACATGTTCCATTCCCATCCATATATATCTTAATTGAATTTTTGGTCCTACAAAAAATATTTTGATAAAACCCCAGTTGCACAATAATTTTTGCAGAACTAATCGAGTTCACCAGATCCATGCAAGGCAGTAAAGCCACTGAGACACAAGGAGTTATTGGAAGAGTTAGAAACAGGAACATGGTTAACAAGCAAGAACAAAAGAGTGCTCAGGAAGACAGAAGATAACAATTGACATTGCATTTAAATTTTTGTATATTAAAGTCGACTAGAAAGCATGGAGCTGTAAGGGAGTTCCACAAGTGAAAAGTACAAGATAAACTGTTAGCATAGAACTTACAGTTACATCTAGCTAACTCAATTGTAAATTGGTGAGACCTTGTCACAAGTCTAGTACTGCACTTAAAATCAAAGAGTCTAAGAACCATAGAAAAGAATTCATCTGAACAATTATCACAAAAGATGTACCTTGAGATATGTGTTACTCCTGATTTTCTTTAACATTCTGCTGGAAGGAGAAAAACAACTATTAAATTTCATAATGGGCCAATATAGCATTAATTAAAATCTGTCTATATTTCTGAGATGAGGCATTGTAATTATTTACACTATTTACGTTGTTCAGACTGATGTCCTCATCTCTCCAGTTCCTATCCCACGAACGCAGGTGTTCCTCAAGGCTCCATCCTAGGCCCCACTCTATTCCTTATCTACATAAATGACCTTCCTGACGCCATAAATTCCCAAGTTGGCATCTACGCAGATGACACCACAATTTATTCCTGCCTCAAAAACAAATCTAGTGTCGCTGACAAAACTAACCTGGCCACTCATCTTGAAATGGACCTCCAATCGGTTGTTAATTGGGGCAAGAATTGGCTGGCCAACTTTAACGCCTCAAAAACTAAACTCCTCTCTATTAATCACCATAGTGATCCTTCCCTGCCCTTCATTAGAATGTCTGATGCTCAACTTCTTGAGAGCAACTCTCTGCAGCTGCTCAGTCTCATGTTGACGGCTAACCTGAGATGAAACAAATACACTGAGTCAATTGCAAATATGCAGTATAACTGGCCCTGCTCTGGCATCTTGTCTACAGTCACTTTCTCACAGACTGCGCCCGTCCACCTCTCTGTCTGTTTTACAAATACTTTCATATAATTGCTCAGAGGAGCTGCATTTGCTGGTGCCCAGACTTCATGAGTTCAAGCGCCAACGAGGCTGGCATCCCGCCTCACCCCTTCACTGTCAGGAAAACTCCTAAATGTAGCTGTCTCTTCTACTCCAATAGCTTCATGTCTCGCACCTCTCACCTGTGGAACTCCCTTCCCTATTCCAGTTTCCCTGAGAGCTATAATCTCCAACTATTCAAATGTAATGTCAATCGACATCTCCAGTTGCCTTGATCTATCCACTACCCTTCTCCTCATCCTTTCTTCTATCACTCCTATCTGATCTTGCAACAAATTTTCTGTAACCCCTTGCATCCTAGTGGCTTCCTACCTTGCTTGGGGTGAAACGCTTAAAAAAGAAAAAAATATTCACAATGTTTCATCCATAGTACGCTCTAGTGACTGGAATTTCTAACCCAACCCATTTTCTCATCCACTGGGGAAATTGTTCTAGTTCCACATGCTATACCTTTTCTAGATGTGAGTTGTGAGTTCAGTAACTGGCTACAGCTGAGTTAAAGGGAGAGGCATAGCATGTGGAACTAGAATAATCTACCCCAATAGATAAAATAAAGAGTTTGGATCAAAATTTCAATCATCCAAAGAAGGCCAAAGTGGACAACTGCTGAAATGTTGTGAATATGCCAACAAAGATGAAGGCAACAGTTTGAACAATGTAAATAGTGTAAATAATAGCATTAATTAAACTATGAACAGGGAACTTTTTTTTTAATTTTTTAGCCAGGTGTAGGAATATGGATTTTTATTCATTTTCATAAAAATTCAGAGCTCATCAACATTTAAGATCATAGTTTTTTCCTTTATAAGAGAGATCATTTTTACTTTTTATTTTATTTTTTCCTTTTTTTTTTTTTCTTCTTTTGTTTTAATTTTGTTCTCTTAAATGGGCAGTCAAAACCAAAGGTTCGTCAATACCAAACTGCCGGCTCGTTAAATCTCGATCAACTTCATCAATTTGTACTGTCTCTCAAATTCCTAAAAGAGGTAAGGAAACACACCATCTTCCATGGTGCATGTTGCTATTCTAGCATGTTATCTTCCTTGACTGACTGACTGACTGACTATCTCCAATTAAAACCTACTTTATATAGCTTGCATGATACGCACTTCCTAGAAATAATTATATTTATATTTATACTTGAGCTCTTACTTTTATTACAGAAATTATAATTTTTCTCTCTAATTCTAGACTTATAAATAAGAATAAATGAAACCTGCTATTTCCTTACAACTTTTACTAGAATTTTATAATTTAATATATTAAAAAGTTTTACTTAGTGAAAAGAGAATAGTAATGAATTAAATCTATTAATGAATACAGGACACACATGTCAAACTCTGAACAGTGAAAAGCAGTTAAATAAAGAAGAAATGGAATATTAGATCAACATAGAAAATAAAGATTTCATTCAATAAAAAAGAACTTTGTTTAAAAATAGATAAAAAAATTTTTAGAAATATTTATCTCTAATGCACCTTTTGTTTTCTCTCTCTCATTTTCTCCTTTCCATTTGTACTCTCTCTCTCTCTCTCTCTCTCTCTCTCTCTCCCTTTAACATTCTTTTACTCTTTTCCTCTCTCTCTCTCTTAAGCTCTGTTTTGCTTTCCTTTCGTGCATCTCTCACTCTTTCCTTTCCTTCCGTGCTTTTTCTCTCTCTCTCACAGCTTTTTGTATTCTTTCCCTCTCTCCCTCGGCTTTTTATTTCCTTCTCCCCCCCCCACCAGCTTTTTTATATTCTCTCCCCCCCCCGCTGTTCGTATTCTTCTCCCCCCCCCCCCAAGCTTTTCGTATTCTTCTTCCCCCAAGCTTCTTCTTTCCCTCTCTCCCCCCGGCTTTTTTTTATTCAAAATTATAGCATATGCATGTTATAACATCACTACAAAAATTGCAATTTTGTTTCAACCCTACTGCTGTCTTATGAAGTGATGGTGTTGATTGCAAAATAAAGGGTTTTAAGAGTTTTAAAACCTACCAAATCCCCTCAGTAGGGGAAACATTGTTACATAACCTATGATGTCCAATCAGAATACAAATATATAATTCAAAATAATGTGAGAACATATTCTACATTCAATCTATTAGTGCATTAAATTTAAGATTAGATCAAATTAGAAATCAATATAACAAATAAAACTTTATTTCAAAATTGCAAATATTCCAAATTTAACCGAGCATCAAGTTTAATATTATTACAAAATTATTCAGAAATGAAACTAGGAGAAAAAAATATATTTTATTGTTCTTAGCAAATTACTAATTTATCAGTTCAGTACTGATATAAGAAGTATCTACGATCAGTACACATATTTGATATATGGATGTCTGGATTCAAATAAGGAGGTGGATAGTGAAAGGAATTTTCAAATGACAGGACAAATACATTCATATAATACACAAACACATATATAATCAAATATATGAGCATGCAAATATAAGGATTGATATTCACACAAGCAATAGAAGGAAAAATTAAAAAAAGGAAAATAATAATAAAAAGAATAATCAAGAAAAATAAACATGCAAAAGAAAATTGTCAGTCACATATATACAGGTAAAAGCATATCCAAGCAATCACACACACATACCTATATACAAATAATCAGACCTACCAAAATTCAACCTTAAATACACTAATAAAACAACACAAACCAACTATCAATATTTTACACACACAAACAAAAATATAGATAAAAAAAAGTGGGGTCAAATAAAGGTAAGAATTATAAATACATGCATATGTACAATGCATACATATATGCATACATATACGTAGTTGAAATATGCATATCGGGCTATAGAAAAAACAAAGACGTATATACGTACGCACACACAAATACATATGCATAAAAAACAAACTTACATATCTAAACAAAATACACACGTAAACATACAAAAACTGGCAAATATAAAAATACATACATGTACCCACATATGCACAAATATACACACATACACAGAAACATATAAGCATGCACACATACATGCATATACAAACCAACACACAGATACCTATGTGCAAATATATGTACCCAGGTATCATATACACATATAAACAGATGTAGAAACAACCATACATACATACAAACATACATACATGCTTACCTAGATAATCATAGTGAATTCAGAGTCCATGTAAAATTAATATATAAATGATCACAACTCTTCAATACCAACTTAATAATCAATGTCAGATTAAATCACTAGCAAATAAGAGTAGTTTATAATTAACATCAATGATCTAATGACAAAAAAAATATATAGATACATAAATATAAAGATTCTATTATCATTCATTACTCATATTACAAAGTAAAAAGTGAACTATTTCTACAGTTAACAGTAAGTTCATTCCTTTAAGAGATTAATCATATCTTTAAATCTAATAATTTCCAATTTTTCATTGAGACAAAGATGACATGATGCATACAAGGAATTACAAGTTTGAGCCTTCCTAATTAATTTCCATTTAACTGTAGGATTTTTGCTTTTTTTCTTTTAAACTCCAAAAGTAATTGAACAACAAAGTACTATTTTTATAAGTACTATTGTTGAATACCAAGTACATGTTGATACCAATGTATTTTAAATGAATTTTTAGTACTTTCAATGTAACATTTTTTAATACTCGGGCTTTCAAGATGAACCTGGGAACTAGCTGAGTAATTATTTTGTAGTGGGTAATCACTGGAATTCCTACAATTATAACCACTGGTATTAGTATTATTATACTTATCATTTACAGTAAATGATATAGGTATTTTCAATACTTTGCTGAAACAGAGCATACCCTGATGAAAAAAGTTCCTAAACTTGATTAAACGATTTTTATCATGTAAATATTTATTATTATTATTATTAAAAGGAAAGATCAAAGTATTTTTTGAATATTTTAAAAAATTTTTTATTCCTTTCTACAGTGTTTGAAATTTTAGTTAAACATCTTGTTTTTTGTTTTTTTTTTTCTGAGTCAGTAAATTTTATGTAAAATTGATCATAGCCATTTTTGACAACTTTTAAATAAAAATGAAATTCTCTGTTTAAAAATCTTGTAAAATTTGATTATACTTTTTTCAAAAGTTATTTTAGGAAAATTAGAAAATCTAATGTAACTGGAAACAAACATTACCTTATTTTTTTAACTGAAAAAATTTATTTGGAAATAAGAGAAGCATGTCTAACCATGGTGATTGGTTTTGAAGGTGTGAATTGATGTTTACATCAATGTATCAACAACTAATATTGGGCAATTTATCAAACAAAGATAGAAGTGAATATTTTCGAATTTTAAGTGAGACAGCTTATTTAACGATAATGTAATCCTCAAAAGTTTAATTTTTTTTTTTATGTACTTTTTTAACAAACATGTCTAAAGCTTGCACTGTTCCCATCCCTAAAATTGAATCTAAAAATGAAAAAATTAATAATTGCAGTATGTCTCTCACTGAAAAAGAAAAATTGAATATATTTAAAAAATGAAAAAATATTTAATGAAATCAACACAATTTATGAGGCCAGATCCTTGTTTATCAGGAGAAACAACTCTTAAAACATAGAACATTATTTCTGAATTGTGTCTCCATAGTTTTGTCAGAAAAGTTTTTAAGACATTTTTTGTCATATTAAAATATTAAAAAATTATTGTAAAAATAGAAATGCTCCAAAGATTGTAATAAGCTTTCAAATTTAACATCTGTGAAAATAGATCTTTTAGTAAGAGCATTTCCAGAGATATACATATTCAAACTTAATTTTAAAATATTTGACAACTTTATCACATTTTGTATTTAAAATTGAAAAAAAAGAAAATAATTCTTATAAAAATTCATTTTTCATCAAAAAAATATTTTGGCCTGCAGCATTAACGTCCTTATTTATAAAAGCCTTTGTGTGCTCATTTATTTGATTATATATGTATTTGTGTATTATATGAATGTATTTGTCATGTCATTTGAAAATTCCTTTCACTATCCACCTCCTTATTTGAATCCAGACATCCATATATCAAATATGTGTACTGATTGTAGATACTTCTTATATCAGTATTAAACTGATAAATTAGTGATTTGCTAAGAACAATAAAATTTTTTTTTTCTCCAAGTTTCATTTCTGAATAATTTTGTAATATCAAACTTGATGCTCGGTTAAATTTGGAATATTTGTAATTTTTAATTTTGAAATAAAGCTTTATTTGTTATATTGATTTCTAATTTGATCTAATCTTAAATTTAATACAATAAGAGATTGAACATAGAATATGTTCTCACATTATTTTGAATTATATACTTGTATTCTGATTCTCTTAAAACCCTTTATTTTGCAATCAACACCATCAGTAGATAAGACACTAGAATTGCAATTTTTGTAATGATGTTATAACATGCATATGTTATAATTTTGAATAAATATTATTTGCTCTACTCAGTATGGAGCACTCTTTTAAGAAGTGTTTTTGATTATCAGAATTTTATTCCATCTGTGCCAAACCTGTACTTGGGGATATATATATATATATATATATATATATATATATATATATATATATATATATATAATGCTCTCTTTTTATATTTTCTCTCTCTCTCCCCTTTTTTTTTCTCTCTCTCCTGTGTGTAATACTTTTACTCTTTTCTGCTTTAAAGCCTAGAAAATGTACAAATAAAAATTATTTATATTTATGTCAACACAAGACATCATGAATATATTTATTTATTATAATTTAATTTTTAGGTTTTTCTACTTACTGTATAATATAAAGCACATCATAATTTTATATATTTATTGGTCACATAGCCTGATCTTCCCTCCTTACTAAATGGTGACAGTTAGAGCAAATATGCCTCATGTTGTTATAACAATGTTATATTATACTTGTAATAAAGAGAACTGGTTGCTAATACATTTTTTTTTTTTATTTATTTACATTATATATATATATACACACACACACACACACTATATATATATATATATATATATATCTTTCATTAAAGATGACAGGTAAAGTACTGTGATTAAGCTTTTTATTTAATTTTATTGTTTTTGAACAAGTGTTTTTTTGTTTTTTTTTCTGGACACAGTGTCCAGAAAAGAAAACACTTGTTCAAACACAAAAATTAAATAAACTTAATTGCAGTATCTTCTATATCATATTTAATACAACATGTATAAATGAGGGATTGCTGCCTAAATACACAACATATATAATCCTTGATTATTTTTTTTTTTTTTTTTTTTTTTTTAATTTCTTTCTTATATTTGACCACAGAGTCAATGGAGTTATATTTTATTAACTCTTGCATTTTCAGAAGTTTTTTGATTTCTATTCTTTATACAGGATTGTCTTTTATATTTTTGACAAATTAACATGACACTCTGATTACTATACTGATATATTTAATTTAAACAAATTTGCTTTGAAAGAATTTATGTAAAAATTATTTTGAAGTGATTAAGTTTGAATGAAAAGTTCTTATCAAATGAAATAAATCTTTAAAACATTCTTAAAGTTTGATCATTATATTATAATAATAAACCAAGATGGAAGTTAAATATCAAGAAAAATATTAGAACAGAATAATAAAAAAAGGTTGTTGCAGTGGCTCCCATGGCTGCTAAGATCAGTTGTTTATAAAAAGGATAATTCTTGAAAATACTCACAAAGTGCAAAAATCTCTGTATAGGATGAATATATTACTAAAATGACTTTGAAAGCATCAGACACTTGTGGATCAACAAAGCCCTTGAAACCCTGGAAAACTTAGTACACTTACTTTCACAGTATAATGTTGTGCTACTAAGTAAACCTAATGAAAATTAAGTATTGAATTTTTCAAGGAGACACTTGATTTACTCCTCCCACTTTTTTGTCGATAATTCCTTTATATCAAAATTGTTAAACAAGTCAAGATATATAGGGATAAGATCAAAGATCAAATCATCTTGGATGACATAAAATTATATGCAAGAAATGATAATGAATTGGAATGGCTTTTAGAGGCTGAAAAGTTTCAGTAATTATATATGCATGGAATTTGATAGACTAGATAAATGTGCAAAGGCCTCTTTCAAGTGAGTATTAGTAGGTAGAATATAATTCTTGATGTAGATACTGTGATTAAGGAACTCAATCAGAAAGGTACTTAGAAATATCTGGATGTGAATGAAGGCAATGGAATACGGCATCTGGAAATGAAAAGAAAACTCAGAAAAGAGTTCCTCAGGTGAGTGCAAGTAATAATGAAAACTGAACCGAATTTGAAAAATGTGATAAAGATATTTAACAATCTTGCAACATAATAAATTAGAACTTAAAGGAACTCAAGAAAATTAATGCAAAAATTTGTAACTAATTCATGCAATAAGATGCACCACTCTAAGGCAGTTGTTAACCATTTAAGGTGCAATGGTGATAAGGGCATGATTCAACTGGAATTATCCAACAAAATTTCAACAATGGAATTTTATAAGTAACTTGCAGCTATACAAGATTGGATGTTACAATTTGTAATGGAGCATATAAAAAAAAAATAAAAAGCTTTATCCTGTACCAAAAGAAGCCAATAAATACAAAAGAGAATTTGGATTAAATCTTGGACATAGCAGTGAAATAGATACAAATGCCCAAATTTAACAAGAAAACAAACAAGAAATAAAAAAGCTAGACCAAAAGCAAATAGGAGAAAGTCAGAGCCAGTTCCTTCTTGAAGCAAAAATACCGATTTAGATAAATTTACAACCCACCAGAAATTCAGAATTTAAGGTTGAAGGCTTCATTCTTGATGCACAAGACCAGAGCCTGTTTACATGCAATTACCAAGCTAATATCTTTGCAACCCAAAATGTAGATTCTGTGACCAGTACATTGTAACTATTGATCACCATATCTCAGGATGGTCACTACTCCCACCCAATGGGTACAAAAATCATCATGACAGGATAGGTCAATATCTGCATTGGAAAATTTGTCATTACCAGCTGCAAAATGGTAGGAACATCATTCCTGAATATTTAGTTGTGGAAGCAGATGTTACCATCCTGTGGTATTTTTCTATCAATGCAATTGAACAATACAAGCAAATCACCTAGACCTAGACAGAAAAGAAAAAATTTACACATTGATTGACATAAGCATATCAAGTGACAAAACCATCTTTGCAAAAGTTTTCAAAAACTAACCAATTATAAAAATCTGGAGATGGAAATAAAAAAATAAAAAATAGAACATGACACCTAAATACTAAAACTGTTCTTGTTGTGGTTAAAGAAACTCAATAACAAATTAACAAAATCCCTGGTGCACCATTTCCTCAGGAAATAAAAAAAATATTTCTAACAAGCACAGTCCATATCCTGCAAAGAGCTTTGTCCATTTAAGTTTTTTTTGTTCATAGCTGTCTTTTGTTTAATTAAGTGAAAATGACTCGGCATGTGATTATAAAACAAATGCAAGTCAAAAATAAATTTAAAAACAAAATAATGATAATTTTGTTTAGCATGCTATTAATAACAAAATTCTAATTTGATTAATGAATGCATTATTTATTTAAAGTGTGTTTATCCCTTTTACCCCATTCACATAAATTTGATATTTCAAACTTTCAAGTATTCAATTCACTTTAAAGGTCAGCTACTTTAAATTTAAGCATTTATATTTTTGCTAATGTTTATAGCTTATCTGCTTAAATGAAACTGTTGCTTCTTTTTTTACACAATATTTGACATCACTGTGAATTCTTTTCCTTGAATGAATTTCATTCTAACATTTTATCTTTATACATGAACATGGTTGTCAGTCCAGATATATTTGGCTTTATTCATTATGCTTGTAATAATTTTCATAGTAACAAGATACAATATTTCATGTAACCACCTATTATTATAGTCAGCTAAAAAAAAAAATGCTATAAACTCGGTAATCTCTTTGAAAATGACTTGTTATCCCTAAAAGTAACAATTTTAATGTTCAGAAAATAAAAAGCAAATTATACTTTGAAAAAAAAAAATGTTTAGAAAACTTTTAGTTAAAATAGCACAAATGCTAAAGAGCTTTTCTTTCTTTTATTAAAAAGTTGATGTTACTGAAATAGTAACTGAAATGCTAGCTTTTAAATTATTTAAATGACATTATTATTTTTTTATTTTTTATTTTTTTTACTGATGGATAAGTAAAATGCAATAAAATATATAGCATGATTTTTAATCTTGCTACTGTCACCCTGATTTGTTTTTCTTCTGCTATCATTTATAGTTCAGTAAGTAATGTTGTGTCTGCTATCTTTCCCAAAAATGAATCAAGATTAAGATCTTTATCCCAATTTTATTTATTTTTTATTATGAAAGAGTTTTCAATTTTATAAAATGAAATACAGGAACAGACACTTTTTTCTTATCTTTTCTTATACCGGATGTTCTCGATAACTTTTACCAATATCACCATTTGCATTACTTTATACAGCATGTTTTTTTTTTTTTTTTTTTTTTTTTTTCTAGTTGAAAGATTTTTTGCTTGATTTGATATTTCTGTTTTGATCATTATTAAAACTAAAATGCTGAAATGTTCTAATTTAATTAATTAAAATTAAAACATACGAATGGAGGATTTTTTTTATTATTATTCATTTGAAGTAATTTATTTTTTTTCTCTCTCTTTTTTTTTTGCTTTTTTTTTTTTTTGTTTTTGTGTTATTTTCTTTCAGATTCAAAAGTCGTTGATACTCCTTGCAAACGTGATACAAAAATACCTGTGATGGGCTCCTCACCACCAGTATTGAAAGGTAAACGTTTATGTTCATTTTAGAGTTTCATATTTACTATTCTAATTATTTGAAGATTTAATTTTTAAAAAAAATCAATTTAAAAGGACTTTAAATGACAAATGCAAAATATAATTTCAATTAATTCATCATAGTTGCCAGCCAGGATCAAAGTAAAACATCTGTTCTTATTTTACATAAAAGAAAGCATTTGGTTCTAGGGGTCTTTTAAAACAAGTTGTTATCATCTTTTCAATTTGCCAATGTTTTATATCCTTAATCATTCTATGATTTCTGTTCCACATTTTTACAATTCCCAAAACTACGTTTCTACCATCAATAACTTTACAATATTTTTTATTATTAACAATTATTAAAGATTTATTATTTAAGCATACACACAAATACACACACATTTCTCTCTTTCGTTTTTGATCTGATGAAGCCTAGCAAGGTCAAAACACATAATCTAGTTTCAATGAAACTGTTTTCTATTTGTTTATATTTTTCAAAATGTCTTGTTTCTTTTCCAAGGTTATATATCTTTCTTCTGAGCCATAGCTGATGTTACAAATAAATATCATTTACTATACTATTAGATATATTTATTTACAACCCTTATGATGGATAATAAAATCTTACATAAGTAAATATAAGTATTAGTATTTCTAATAAAAAAAGATATAAGTTGGAATACACATTTTATATTTATCATATAAATATGTATATCCTGAAAATGTTATCAAATCTGGCTAGCAAATAGCAATTTATATTGTGAAGGTGTATATATAATAAATTCTAACACAATGTAGAAAAAAATTATTAAAACCATTTTTCAAAGTTGCAACAATTATTTTTCCCAACTTTTTTCTTTTTTTTTTTCTTTTTTTTAATTTTATTGTTTCATGTTGTGGTCAATATTTTTTAATTTTAAATAGACGGCAGTGCTGTAAAACTATTAATATAAGTACATAATATAATATTATTATGTACTTTATGTATCCATGGGCACAAAAAGTAAAAAGTTAGCAACCCTATGAAATAGCTACAAATAATTACACTTTTGCCCACAATTATCCCAACTGAGTAGCTTAAAGATTAATTTGAAAGATAATTAATAGCCATTAGGATAATACAATAGACTTTCTAATCATAATGCAGCCTTGACCATCATATATAAATAGTTGGGTCAAAACACGAAGCACATAGTCCGATGATTGTGTTCAAGCATGAGACAGGCTGTTACTGTTTGGTGTTAACTTCAGTGCCCACTTTTACACTTTTTTTTTAATATTATGAAGTTATAAATATGTACATATGAATCATTTTGAAAATTCTTTAATATCCAGGGTTACTGAATATAACATCAATTTTATATTTGTATTAAACCTATATAACATCTATATATGTAGTTTTGAAAAGTAAATACTACAAAAATAATTGAGTATATTTAACTAAAAACTGAAATTTAGTTTGATTTAAATAAAAACTGATATATTAAAAATTTATTTATCACATTTATACAATATATTTTTTCATCCTTTGAAGATACTAAAACATCGGATCGTTTATGTAATAATACTCGAATACCACGAGTTTCAGTACCAGTTAACCCTCCATCCCCAGTTCCAGCGTCCATGATACCAAGTAAGTACAGAGATTTTCTTTATTCATCTACTTTCTGTGATCAACATTTGGTTAGGAAGCCATACTCAGTAAATATTTGGTTTAGAAGCTACACTCGGTAAATATCTGGTTAGGAAGCTACACTCGGTAAATATCTGGTTAGGAAGCTACACTCGGTAAATATCTGGTTAGGAAGCTACACTCGGTAAATATCTGGTTAGGAAGCTACACTCGGTAAATATCTGGTTAGGAAGCTACACTCGGTAAATATCTGGTTAGGAAGCTACACTCGGTAAATATCTGGTTAGGAAGCTACACTCGGTAAATATCTGGTTAGGAAGCTACACTCAATTAGTAAATATTTGTAGTATTTTAATTAGTTCTTGGTGATACCTCTTCTCAATTTGTAAACTTATGATAATTTGTAAAACTGTTATAAAATACTTATTGGAATTAAAAAAAAAAAGTAGCTATAATAAAAGAAAATATTGAAAAATATAAGAGTGGTCTTGCTATCCTGGTAAAATTTCTATAAAAAAAAATGTCAAATCTTTATACTGATTTTTTAAAATAATAATTTTCCAAAATGAAGATATTTTTCTCATATGCAAGAAGGCATTGTATCTGTTAGTTACTCTTAATTTTTAAGGAATCTTGTAACTTTGTTTCCATGCTTTTTCTCCCAAATACTTACAATAAAAAGAAATGGGTAAATAAATAACAAAACAAATCTGTGTTATAATGTTTTGTTTCCCCCCCTCCCTCCAAAAATGTATTCAGACAAAAATAATGGTTTTATTGATGGAATTGTTCTTCATATTCCTTTAGTAAGGAGGAAGTTCTACTCACAGATTCTTCCACAGAAGTGTCAATTTGTGGAATAGACTCTCCAGAGAATGTTTCCTTAACCACTATAATCTTAACCTTTTTAAGTCTAGTGTCAACCTTTATCTATCCTACATATTCTCATAACCTCTTCTACCTCTCTTTATATCATACAACAATCTTATTCAATAACCCTCTACCTTATGTGGTTCTTGGGCTTTGTAATAGGTGAGCAATAATAAAAAAAAAATTTCAATAACATCATTTACTCCCTTTCATTTATTAGACATTGAATTGTGCCAGTTGACGTCCTCCATAGCTTGCCTAGACTTTTCAGCTAACCTGATGAATATTTATGAGCATTCTTAAATTTAAAGATTTTGAAAATTCAATAATGTTTTTGCTCTTATATATAAATACTTGTTACAAAATAAAATCTTTACATTTGCCTTAGTAAAGTTTTTCACGGGTAGAAATGTGCCAGCTAAGTTTTCTTTTTTGTCTTTATTCATAAAAAAGTATTTTTCTCTTTTTGCATATTGATTCCATCAATAAAAACTTTTATTTGAAGATGAAATAAAATATATTGCAACACACTTTTTCATCTTGCTATTTATTATTATTCTAACATATATTTTTATATAAAAGGCAAAAAGGCTTTTATTAGAAAAAGAACAAATTTTAACTCCATTTCTTGATATTACTTACATTTACCAAAACCTTTCTATAATGTTTATTATTGCAATAAAAGAGACTCTCTTTCTGATACAGATTGTGCACTCAAGGGATGTTAAATAAGGGTCTGACCAAAATGGTCTGGTAACAATAAAGATAACTCAGTTAAGACTGAAATTCTGAATATTTGTAAGAATGAGAATAAATTCCTCACAAAGTTTCAGAAATGTTACAATGAAAATGTACCCTCTGACAGAAGTTTTCTTGAGTGTGCAAACAGGTAGATAAAATAAATACTTATTTCTTTAGAAATTCCTTTGTTTACATTTCAGATACAAATCTGTGCAGATATGTGACTCAGGAAAAAAATTTAAATAAATGAGTGTATTTTAAAAGCAAAATAAAGCCTTGCTTTATTTGGAAACTCTTTATAACTGAGCAGTAAAAGCATGCCAGATCAGACGGTGGTTTCTCCTACAAAGGAGGATGCAAGGAGAATGTAGTAATATATTATTAGCTTATATTAGTATTGCTATTAACCAAAAACATCAACAATAATCTTTATAAGTAATTTTCAGTTAAAATAAAATTAAGAAAATGAAAAAAAAAATTGGTTCTTCAAAATACTTATTTTAAAATTTTATTTAAAAAGTTTTAAAAAAGATTTTACTGTAACTTTCTTTTTTTATTTTATAAGCCTCCCCAGGTAGTCAAAAACAAGGAAAGTCTGGAATTAAGCCTACCAATCCTGTTAGTAGGTAAGTGTTGAAAAAAAATTAAAATACTAAAAAAACATAAAATTTTCTCTGAGAGTGAAATGTTAGCATTTTACTAAAAATGTTGTATAAATAAATGAAAAAGTTACTAAATGTAAATGAGAAAAAAATTTATTCTAGTACATTCTACAAAAATATATATTTTATTAATTAATTTAATAAAATATTCAGTGACAATTAAAACTTTTATTTGATAGGTTAAAGCATAATACATTTCACCAAATATATTGTTGTTAAGAGAAAGATATCTTGATATCTAGACAAGTGAAAAGAAGGTACTGTATATATTTGGGTATCATGTGACCTTTGAAAACCTAATTTTGAAGCTAATTTGTCTACAGTAAATGGATATATAGTTTGATGAATGGTGTACATGTGCTAATTTTATATCTGATATATAATATAACCCCCTTGAAATTAGTTTCCAAATTAGGTTTATTGATGTACTTTTTTTAATTCAATGTGAAAAGGTTTATTGTATTATTAATAAAGAATAAATTTAACTTGTTTAGATATCAAGATAATTTTGATAAAAGTTGTTACTGATGTTGTTTTCATCCATTTAAATTACTTAATATGTAGAGCTATTTTATAATGGCTTTAAAAATGAACATTTTGAAAAGTATATATTAACATAATTTATACAAATATATTAATACAGGGAAAGAAAGAGTAAAGAAAAAATATTTGTCATAAAGTGGTAAATAAAAATATTATAAAAAAAGAACAAAAATGAAACTGGCTCTTCAGAACTCAATCAAAGCAGATATAAATTTGTGTGTAATTACTAAAATTAAGCAGAAGTAAAATTTTGCAATTTTGGTTGTATAATTATAGTGATATAAAATATAAATCTTACTAGATGACAGATAAAACATTGCCCTGTCAGCTGGGGCTGTAGAATACGCTGACTGCACCTCTGCAGATGGGTAAGACCCCCCCCCCTCAATGGGGCATCCTGGGTATGACGATAAACTACATCTGTGTCCAGGGTAAGACAATAAACTACATCCAACAGCAAGGCATCTGATCAGGAGACTTTGAGGAGTGTGGAACCACCTCTTAATTGCTGGTGTTCTCAGATCCACCCTGACCCAGGGTGGTAGCACCTGTTAGGGTCCCAGCTATGGGCAAATACTTAATCTAGAAACTGAGGTAAAAGGCATTATAAAAGTGTAAAAATAGGTTTTAATATCAGAAATACTTTGTAAAAAAAAAATTATTACCAGAAATAAATTTATGAAGAAAAACAATATTACCAGCTATACATTTTTTCTAAAAAAATATTACCAGCTATACATTTTTGAGGAAAAAATATTAACAAATAGATTTTTGACAAAACAAAAATATTACCAGAAAAAAAGTTGTCGGCATTAAATGACCCATTGAGGTTGATATGCTGTAAAACAAACATACAGATAAAACATGAAAATAAAACAATAATTAGTTTTATTAGTATTTATTTCCACCACCCACGCTTTCTCCTGATACCACTGTCCACACATCCCCATGTGAACAAGAAGGAAGTTTTAAGAAAAATGGCAGCAAAAAGGACACATAATTAGAATAAATTTTTAGGATGCATGCTGAGGAAAGAAAGCTTGGAGAATTTGACACTAACAGAATATACTAAAGGCATGAGGTAAACAACAAGAACAAATGGATAGTAGAACAGGGAGGGGGTGTGATTACATTAAAACAAACCTTACTAAAAGGTACAAAGGTCAAGAAGTTATGGAGAGCTATAATTGCACACATACTGAAGGAACATGGAAAATAAAAGATATGTTAATATATACTTTTTAAAATGTCCATTTTTAAAGCCATATTTAATATAAAATATTTATTGTATTAATAAAAACATATTTTTAATTTTAATTTAGACAGTTTCATAATGTATACACTATCATCTGAATGCCACAGACAAACTAGAATTATGATACATTTAAATACATAAAGTAATATTTATATTTTTTTAGTTAGGCTTGTAATCCATGTCATTTCCTATTGAGTTTAGAATGTCATAACTTATATTAATGCTGTTTAACAAGTTAAATGCATGTGAAACCTGCTTATGCAATGAAAAAGACACAAATAACAGAATTTCTTTCTTTTTTTATATCTCATTCTCTGATGAAGTTTTAATAAATGTGAAACATGTTAGATTTATAAATGTTTCCTATTCTATATGCTATCATTTTCAGACTCTGATTCATATTTGATCCAAATTGTAAATAAATATCAAAAAGTTTTCCAATTTTTTTGTTAAAATTTTGCAGGCATTAAATTTTTTTCTTAGTAAAACAATATCAATTATAAATATATATGAACCCTAGTTAAATTTTTGCTATATTCTATATAAATATTCATAATTTACAGTTACCGCAGAAGTACAGGATCAGCACCTTCTCCCTCTTTGCCAACATCATCATCATCATCCTCAATATCATCTACATCACCACAATTATCTTCAAATACTCCAAACAGTAGTACAACTACCACATCAAGTCAAGGTACATTATCTCATTTATTTAGATTTACAGTAGGAAGTTAATTACTCATTATTTTCTATAAACTTTACATGATTAAGAACTTTTTAGATCCTGTAAAATTTGATAAGATCATTATAACTGAAGTTATATTTAATAGATTAAAATAAATTATATACTTATTTTGTTTAAACAAAAAGGCAAACAGACACTTCATTTTATTCATATAGATTATTAAAATGACTAAGCATTAATTTACAACCAAAAGTTGATTTACCTCTCTTACCAGTATATTTTTTACATTGGGATAAATATTTAACTTCCATGAGAAATGTTTTTTGTTTTTTTATCTTATTTTTTTATCTTATTTTTTTATCTTATTTTTTTTTTTATCTTATCTTATTTTTTTTTATCTTATCTTATTTTTTTTTTTTTTTTTTTTTTTTTTTTTTAACTTTTCCTGATCTTTAGGGCTAACCTAGACCACTTTTACATAGCCTATCCGCATACCAGATTTGGTTGAAATCCATCCACTAGTTTTTGGATCTATAGGGGACAGTTAGACACTTATATGTATAGATAATTACCATTCTTATTGAATGTATTAGTCTCTCTTGTAAGCACAAATAATTATATAAGTATTTATAAACTTTATTAAATATACTTTGAAAATATTTTAAAATGTTTTTATCATAATATATACAAATAAAGTATATTTTTATTGCTTGATATTCTGAATTTTATTTTCAAGAATATTTAAATATTATGCAAAAACCTATATTCTATATTAATAAAATGATATAATGTTTTCCTTTTTATTTTCAAGTAAAAAATTCTTTTTTTTTATTCTGATAACTTCAGATTAAGATTGGATTATAACTAAATATTTTTAAAGAATTATCCTTATATTTTCATTTGATTAATTTATCTGAAATATATAAGTTTATATTAAGTTGTCCAGAAAGTTCTGACTCACTTAGGTAGCAGAAAGAAAACCACCAAATTTTATAGGGCAACACCAATATTTATTTTTCCAAATAATGACCACCATCCTCAACGATTTTCTGCCAACGATCAGCCAGCATTTGAATATCTCCCAGATACCAGTCCGCTGGCTTTGAATCAAAAAAACTGTAAACAAGTTTCCTTCACTTTATCAAACATGTTAAATCACTGGTCATGGAGGAAATATTCCATTGAGCGGATTAGGCCGTAGTCACTCGGGGCAGTATCGAGACTGAATGGTGGATGTGGAAGAATCTCAATGCCGTCCATCTATTTGAACTTCTCCTTAGTCAACCTGGCAGTGTATTGCCTCACATTGTCTTGCTGAAACAAACTCATTTCTGTCAGTTGGGGGCTTATACAAAGCAGAATAAACTGTGTAGGAGCAACAAACAACCACAACATACAGAGGCTGGTAGTCAAATGACGTTCTGGCTAAACTAACTTAATGTTTTTATTGCTCCATAAAATTTTGTTGTTTTATTTCTGCCTCCTAAGTGAGTCAGGACTTTCTGGCCAACTTTATATTTTTCAGTAATTATAAATATTTTACATTGATTTTGATCATTTAACAATTTTCCAATTTAAGGAAACCCATCAACTAAAATATCGGATCGCCAGCCTGGATCTCAAGTCAAAAATCAAATTGAAAGGTAAGATTTTTAAATAGCCTGTGTTAAATATTGAACAAAAAATTTGAAACCTGATAATCTGACTCAAATTGTATTCTTTATTAACTGAAAATTGTTCGATGTTAGTTCTGTCAGCTTAGTTTTTCCATGTCATTTCACTTTTTCTTGTATTGGTAGCAACACTAAATAGCTCCAAGTCTATACATGCTAAATAATATTTTGTAAACATAACATCGAACCTAAGTTTGAAAAGAAAAAAATATATATAGAATCATAAAATCATGATACAATACAACTTTGAACATATATGATTTAATCTTCCTAAAAATTATTACACTTGGAACAAATACATTTATCAAATAAACAATACTAACCATGGTGTTCTATACTATAGGCCAGAGGTCACCAAACTTTTTTCACAGAAGGCCAGATGATCATTTTGTTCAATACAATACACTGAATACACAAAAAATAAAGACAGCAAACATTTATTTACCAAAAAGTTATCAAAGAAGTCAGCATTAGCAATAAATTAGTTATATCACAGCCAGTGTGCACATATCTGAATCTCACAAGTTAAGGAGAAAAAAGGTTCGTGAGATTTGTGAAATTGGTGTTTACCTTTTAAGATAGAATCAATATTTGCTTTGGAATTGCTACATCAAGCCAAGAGAATTGCTTTCAAGAATTTGTTACATGTGCTGACTTTACATACTTTAGATTTTATAATGAGTACAGGCAAATGCAAAATATATGACATAATTTGCTGAAGTCAGTCCTTTTTATATACAGTACTCTCAAAAAACAGTTTAAATACAGCAATGCAAATTAAAACATGATCGCAGCAACAAGCTCAAAATTACTTTTCTTAGAAACTTCATTGCCAGTACAAAAAGCTCTCAGATGTTAAAAGTCACCAATTTTTTTTATTTCACTGATTTTCCTAAATCTTATATTATCGGATTGGTCAAATTTTGGCATTTTTACTTACATTTATTTTAATTTTTTCTACATTGTAAGTTTAACTACAATTTATTGATAATTCCATATTAGTTCATCTGTGGCACACTGCAGTGACTGGTCAGATGAACTGACATTGCAGACTGTAGTTTGATGACTCCTACTGTAGGCCAACACATGATGCAACTAAGAATCAAAACTGAAGGCCTATTTCAGAAGGCCCTACCCTTATTCTACTTGGAGCAACACATTTTATTTTGGGCTTGTGATAGTTTGCTGCTGTAGTCAGCTTAAATTCAAAGAATTTTTTGTTTTTGTACTTGTAATTTTAATTTATTAATTGAAGTAACTATAAGATTTATTTGGAATTAGTATATTACTTTACATTTATTTACATTATCCAGACTATTATCTTCATCTTCATTGCCATATTCACAACATTTCAGCCATTGTATGCCCTGGCCTTCTTCAGGTGATAGGAATTTCAAACTGAACCCATTATTTCGTCTACCAGGGTAGATTGTTCTAATTCCACTTGCTATGCCTCTTCCAGATGTCTCAGTTATTTCCCTTTAACTCAACTCTTCAAATTTTTTGGTTCACCACTGCTATTGAACTCACAACTCTTTGGGTCTAGTCACTGGATATAACACATTTTTATGAAGATGAGGATAACAATCCAAATAATATAAATAATAATACTTTATCTCAGAGATATAAACAAATAACTTTCCTGTTCATGGCATTTCTTTAGTGACCCAGCAAAAATTGTTGCAGCTTGGTTGGGATGTGTTACCTCTCCCGCCATATTCCCCAGACATTGCTCCTTCGGATTTTCATTTATTCAGGGTCTTGTAAAATAATCTCACTCGTAAAAATTTTAATTCTTTCGATGACATAAAAAAAACACCTTTGTTCTAGTTCCGAAAAAAAGGGTTTGGTTCAAAATTCCAATCACCTGAAGAAGACTGGAGCATACAGCAGCTGAAACGTTGTGAATATGGCATTGAAAATGAGCATAAAAGTTCGAATAATGTAAATAATGCAAGTAATCATAATACCTCATCTCAGAGATATAGACAGATACTTTACTTTACATTTATTATAAAAAAAAAAAAAAACTTCTAGTGATTGAAATTTACCAAAAAAAAATATTAGTTATGAATCATGGTCTTATCATTTGGAAGTTTATTTTACATTTTTCATTTAAAGTTAATTTAACATTATTCTCTATGAAACTTTTTCTCCTAAAAGCAAATACACTAATGATAAACTTATTTTACTTAATCTGTACTACTGTTTCTAAAATAGCATGTTGAATTTTTCCCAAAGATCTTATACAATTATATATCTTTTTATGCAGCAAAGACAAGGTATTACACAAATAAATAAAATAAATTAATAATTTTACTTGATTAAAATAAATTATTTATTAATCCATTTTTTTAATCTTGTTATAAATACTCCGAAGAAAGTTAATTTTAATAATGTTATGTCTAAATTTTAACAAACTTTCCTTCTAAAGATGTTTTTCCTCAAATCTGTTTTATACTGCAAAATTTATTTGTTACATAAATTTAATATTTTTCTCTATCATATTGTTATTTATAACAATGAATATATTGATAATATTTAAATTTTTCATTAGATTGTTTTATTTTTTCTTTTTAAAGGTATTTTAAAAAAAAAAAGAAAAGTATGTTGAATTTTAGTTTACAATTAAAAAAAAAAAATGTAAAGTAAGTGTAAAGGTAATATTTTTATATTACGAAATTAATGAAAAAGTCATTTATTAAGAATATTTTTAACTTTTCTAATCAAATTTCTGAAATTCAAATATTTTAAAAGAAGCCTTCTGGTTTAGTCCTTAGTTGCACCATGACTATACCTGTAGTATAAAATGTCATGACACCAACTGGATCCGTAATGAGAAAGTAAAGTAAACATGTATCAGAAGGCAAGGCCAGCTTTTCTTTTCTTTTTTTTTCTTTTTTTTTTAAAGTCTTTCAAATGTTATGATTTCCAGGAACACTGAAAAATCAACATATTACAAAATAATTAAATTTACAATTGAAATAGTTTTCTAATTTTATTCAGTTACACAATATTGACACCTGTATTTATTTTTAGGTGAACTTTATTGATTTTTTTTAAATATTGTTTTTTTTTTCTTTTTGTTTTTTATTTTTACTGCTATTCAATACAAAACTGATTCATAAAATAAATTCCAAATTTATTTAATTTTCAATTATTAAAAATAATTATTTCCTGAAGTTTTTTAATTAAAAAAATTTTTTTAAAATATATTAACTCTGCATAGATATATAAATTGATACTTAATGTTGTGATTAAATTCATTTTTATAGCCAAATTAAGTTTTGCTTTTTGTCTTATATACTTTGATTTTTTGATTTTTTTTTTTTTTTTGATTTTTTTTATTTTTTAGGCGAAAGAGTACCAGCTCTAAGTGATTCAATATCATTGAATAAAAGACAAAACAAAAAACAACTTCTAGGAAGTTGGCATCCATCCAAGGAAATATTAGAAATCTCCCTGATTGATGCCACTGTCTTGACATTGTGGTCACAGCTGATGCCTTAATCTGCTGCTGTTAATATATGCTGCCAAACCCTTTATTTTTTATTTTTTCCATTTATCTTTTTCTCCTTTTTCTATTATTTTTTTCCTTTTTCCCCTATTTTGTCTCCCCTTTCCCCCTCTCTCTTTTCCCTTCCCCCCTCCCTTTTTTCCTTTTCGTCTCACTTTTTCCCTTTTTGTTTCCCTTTTTGTTTCCCTTTTTCCCTTTTCGTCTCCCTTTTTTCTTTTTGACTCCCTTTTTTTCCTTTTCCCTTTTCATCTCCCTTTTCCCCCTTTCACTTTTTCCTTTTTCCTTTTCGTCTCCCTTTTTTCCTTTTCCCTTTTCATCTCCCTTTTTTCCCCCTTTCCCTTTTTCCCTCTTTTTTCCCTTTCCCCTCTTTTTTTTTTCCTTTTCCCCTCTTTTTTTTCCCCCTTTTTCCTTTTCTTTCTTTTCTTCTATTTTTCTTCTTTTTTTTTTTTCGTGTCCCACAGACACAGGGTCTTGTGGTTTAGAAACAGATTTTGTTGGACTTGTAAGATTAGAAAAATATTTTCCTAATGTGGTTGATTTTTATTAGTTCTGTTTATTTATTCTGCACATAAGATACTATATGTGGAACATTGGTTCCATGAGAAAGTATACCACCTCATCTTCAAAAAGAATTTTATTAATATTTAATTATTAGCTGAGTTGAAGATACCAGCTAATTTTTGTGATAACTTAAAATGCTTTGCTTTTTTCTTTTATTTCTATCCCATTTTGTAATTTTCTTTAATTATTTTTATTTATTTTTCCAATTTTATTCCTTCAATTATTTTCTATTTTCTTTTGTTTTCCAAATTTAATTTTCAATTTTCTTTCTGTATCTTCTGAAATTAATCTTAAGTTCTCATTTTTAATTTCTTTTTATATGTTAAAGTTACATGTAATGAAAATAGCATTATATGATTTATTTAAGAATTCCTTTAATATTAAGTTGAAACATAAATATATTTGTTTGTGCTTACTCATGGATAAACAATCCTGTAAAGCATGTTTTTAAATTGTTAATACTTTCTGTTTCATAAGCCTTAATGGCACTAGCTGCTAAGGGAGATAACTTTGCACCAACACGTGCCTGTTGGGGGCTTTGGTACAGCACATATACAGCCATATTTTGGAGAAAATGTTATTTCAGGGAAATTTTCACTTCCAAAGTGCTTATCAGTATTGATATTGTTAACCCTTTTCCTCCATCCCTTTTACCTGTGTAAAAAGAAAAAAAAAAGTGTAAATAAAGAAAGATTATTTCAATTTAATAATTTTGTTCTATATAGAAATTTTGCTAGATAAGATGATTTTTTAAAGTAATTGTTTTGTTCACTTCATTTTTTTAAATTGCAAAATATTTTTATGTCCTCACGTAACTTAATTTCAGAAATAAAAGGTATATTCCAAAGTTTATCTTTAATTCTAGTATATTTTATTTGACAATGTTTAACCTTAATGCTGCAAAAAAAACAGTATATCAAAAAGATGATTATTTCCTTTTCATCACTATTACTGTATACACTTTTGACTCCCTCAGCAATTTTTATTGTTTTAAAAAGTAACAATGAGAATTTTAAGAAAACCCAAACATGACAATGGATTTATACATTTTCTTTATTCTTGATTATTGACAGCAATACTATTTATTCATTAGATTGATTATTAGCAAGAATAATTTAATATTTACAAGATTATAAAAATATATGAGCCAAATATAATGAAATAGTTTTATTTAAAATTTTATAAATAGTTTTTGTATCCAAAGATTTATAAAACTGCCTGAACAAGAAAATTTGAATAAAAACATAACAATGAGTAATTGTAATTATAAATTTTGAAAAAATGCCTTGTCCAGGCATTTCTTTTCATTTTCTCTCACCATATAAATTCATTAAATAGATTGAGAGCATGTCTTCTTCTAAACCAGATATTCTTTTAATTTTAGATTTTAGGCAAGACCACAAACACAAAATATTTTGAGTGTGTATCTCCCTATTGATTGGATGGACAAATGTTTTCCTTGAATGTAAAATAGGTTGATAGTATATCTTCCTATGAAGCAAGTATTCTTTTAATTTTAGATTTTAGGCAAGACCACAAACACAAAATATTTTGAGTGTGTATCTCCTATTGATTGGATGGACAAATGTTTTCCTTGAATGTAAAATAGGTTGATAGTATATCTTCCTATGAAGCAAGTATTCTTTTAATTTTAAATTTTAGGCAAGACCACAAACACAAAATATTTTGAGTGTGTATCTCCCTATTGATTGGATGGACAAATGTTTTCCTTGAATGTAAAATAGGTTGATAGTATATCTTCCTATGAAGCAAGTATTCTTTTAATTTTAGATTTTAGGCAAGACCACAAACACAAAATATTTTGAGTGTGTATCTCCCTATTGATTGGATGGACAAATGTTTTCCTTGAATGTAAAATAGGTTGATAGTATATCTTCCTATGAAGCAAGTATTCTTTTAATTTTAGATTTTAGGCAAGACCACAAACACAAAATATTTTGAGTGTGTATCTCCTATTGATTGGATGGACAAATGTTTTCCTTGAATGTAAAATAGGTTGATAGTATATCTTCCTATGAAGCAAGTATTCTTTTAATTTTAGATTTTAGGCAAGACCACAAACACAAAATATTTTGAGTGTGTATCTCCCTATTGATTGGATGGACAAATGTTTTCCTTGAATGTAAAATAGGTTGATAGTATATCTTCCTATGAAGCAAGTATTCTTTTAATTTTAGATTTTAGGTAAGACCATATACAAAAGTTTTCCTTCTGTATAATTACAGAATGCCAGTAATTTTTACTACAAATTTTGCATTGTAGCTGGTTTATATATTTTGTTAATTTTTTTTATAAATTTTTAATAGAAATATTTCTTTGCTAATTTATTTCTTTATAAAATACTAAAATAATGTCGTAAATAAATATTGTTGAGAGAGTTCAAATTATAATAACAGTGTCAAGGGAATAACCATCCTCTCGACACACCATTGTATGCAGGTACAAAGTTTAAAAATTACCTTTAATTTAAATGTAAGTTTCAACTAATAAAATATTTTATCTTGTATTATCACTAATATGAAACAATAATTTATTAATTTTATGCAAATTTAAATGATGCATTGTTTTGTTAGTTTTGTAAAAGAAAATAGCACAGAATAGAGAAATGGTAAATCAGACATTTTAATGTTGCTGTAAATGCAACAAAGATATTATTGCAATAACTATATTCACCAAATAAAAATCAAAAAGTTCTTTTAAGTCTTTTCAATGATATTTAACATAGATAATTGCACTACTGGAAATTCTTTTTTTTCTCTCTCTCTCTTTTTTTTTTCTTTTTTTTTTTTTTTTTTTTTTTTTTTTTTTTTTTTTTTTAGAAATGTAATCATATCTTGTAAACATGTTATATTGAACTTTGGTGGATATGAGTGCAAATCCTTTAGTAAATTAACAAAATATACAGGGTGCCATGGATAAATTGTTGTCTAAATTACACAAAAATATTTTTTAGTAAGTAAATTTATTCAATAAAATAACTATTCGTTGCAAACACAGTCTCCTGACGACTTCAGAACCTCCTGCAACTCTTCTGGATGGTCTCCTTGTTGGTGAATGCTGCCATAATCCTTGCCTTCAGTTCATCTTTGGTGTTACAAGGAGTTTTGTTGATCTCTCACTCAACTGCCACCCTCTTGACTCAGGGCAGCACTACTTCCTCAAGGCACTTGATGTAGGATTCCATGTTGAGTTTGTGGCCCTGTTGAAAGATGAATTGGAGGCATAACATCACCATCACTAGTGACCACTCCAAACACTATGATGTTGACTGGATATTTGGTTTTCATAACTCTCAGTACTTCTTTGGGGGATACTGCAAGCCAAGCTGTTGTTCTATGTGTTCACCATCTTGGCAGAAAGATAAAGCATGTTCAATTCAAGGGGATACTTGAATTTGTTCAAAAGCTTCATAGTGTGGTCTTTCCTCTTGTCATTCATGGCTTGGGATAAAAATTGTCCCTTTCTCATCTTGCATAAGAAATACCGAATGTCTTCATGCACTTACCTGCCTAATAAGAAACTCAGATACTCCTGTGTCCCTGGCTATGAACCTGATTGACTTGAAGTGATCATTGTCAATCATGGCCTGGATCTCACCAACAAATTCGGGAGTTCTTTTCTTATCAGAATGATCAGAGTGAATTTTACAAGCTGCCATACCTTCGTAATCACCATTAGACTCATTCAACTCTTTCTAAATCCTCTGCACTGTTCTCAGATTGATACCCAAACACTCTGAAAAGTTTGTATTGGAGCTTCTGGATGCAAATGCCAAGAAGTACAGCATGCTGTCTTCAAATTTCTGGCAGAGTGAATTGCATCATGTGACCCTTTTTTTCTCACAGATGGTTCTCAACTGACCCTCATATTGTATAGTCGACTAAATTAAAAACAAGCAATGCACATGTGCAAAATTAAAATATAAAATGGTGATAATTTACCCATTGCACCCTATAATTTTTTTTTTCTTTTATTTTTCTTTTTTTTTTTGTCTTATTTTTCATTCCTAAACATTTCACATTTTGTTATTCATTTTGTTTGTCAAGATATCTCGGTGAAAAATGTTCTGTTTGTTAAATAAGGATAAAACAGTTCTTAACAGACTGTTATTCCCATGTAACTTTGTTTAAATAATTCTACTTTGCAGTTTGTTCTTTCATTCAGGATTTATTTTAATTCATTTGATTGTCAATGCTTATGTAAAAAAAAAAAAAAAAAAATAATAATAACATTCTTATACTTTAAACTTTTTTTTTTTTTTTTTTAACAACCTATCATTTA